TATAGTAATACGCATTACATTACTTCTTCGGTTTCCTAATTGTATTCTGTGATGCTGCGTATTTCACTTTTTTCATATATCTGCTCCTTTACATTGTGCCACAATTATCTGTATTGTGTTACTCACCTTTAACGAACACCTAATTATGGGGATGTATGTGTGTATATATGTAGTAGATGTTGTTTGAGCTCCCCGGAGTGGCTGCGCTTGATGTGCATGCTGACAAGGTGCATACCTATCTATTACCCACTACCTTGTTCATACCAGCTCCAGGATACAATTGGTCATTGCTGGAAGAGACGGGGTGCATCGTCTTTGTGGCCGTGCTAGGCTCAAAGAGTGGTTCCATCCTGTGTGGAACGGCCTACGGACCAGCCACCGCCATGTGTACGTCTGGTGTGCATGATTTCCAAATTAGACCGGAATGCTTCTTTTCTGCTTGTTGAAGGAGTGTGGGCCGGCTCCGTTGATGAAACCTGGCTCCCATCCACCTGTCTCCCGGTCTTATTCCTTCGGGTTTACACTGGATATGGGGTATGTGGTTGAAGCTGTGGGTGGTGCAGCGCAAGCCACCCATGGCAGTAGGCGTCATATGGCTGGCCACTGTGACAGGCAAATCCGAAACCGGATGCCGGCAACAATTAGCAACAGTTTGTCGAATAGCATTGGAGCCAAAGGAAACAATGGAAATCACTAGAAGAAGTCAGGAAGGATCACCGCCTCATCATCCTGGCGCATCTGCTGAAGCTGAGCAACACACTCCATCTAATGTGCCACACTAACAAAAGGGGAACATTATTTGTTATTTGGCATGCACCATTTTTTCTTTATGCTGTTTCAACTGCTAAGTTTTAGGCAGCTGAATCTATACAAGTATCTACACAGATCTTCCATTGGTTTCGGTTGCGCGCCAAGTCCTGAACTGTTTCCAGCCCTCGGTATTCCTTGTCCTTTGGTCCCAAACCAGGCAGACCTGTAGGTCCAACGGCAGTAACACATGCAGTCAACGATTTCAAATGCTACCGCCAGGTGGACAGCTGACCATCGCGTAGTCTCTTCCAGCTAAGTCCTGCTCGAGCGAAAAGGGCGCAATGGGGTAAATTCTCAGCTGACATGCGCAGGACGTGATTGAGCCATCTTAACTGAAGCGGCAAAAGTAGCTTGTTGAAGCGAATACTCGCATTCCCTAAGACACGACGTCTGACTTCACCGTTACAGATAGGTTGTTGCCACCACTCATGGACAATCCTCCCCAAGCACCCATTACTTAAGGCCGAGAGCCGGCGCATGTCATCCGCGCAAACTAGCCATGACTCGCTTTCATATAGCAACACTGCCCGGAACGGTTGCATTAACACTACAATTTACCATGAGGGAGAGATTTCGACGCCGCCACAAGTCTTACAGGTTGGCAACCAATACCGGGCTTTGGAGGTGTGGAAAGAAAGTTACTTGCTGATAGCGCCACCGGTAGACACGTAGCTGCCCAGTTATACAAAGCTATCAACGTGCTCAAGCTATGCACCTTCAAGAGTGAGCACGGGAACGACAGAGTGCCAGTCCTGGAGCAGCACATTGCATTTCGACGGGGCGAAGCACATTCCGTATTTAGATGCTCCCAACGCTAAATGGTTTAGAATGGTCTGCATACTCTGTGAGTCACCATTAAGTAATGCCATGTCATCAGCATAATCTAAATCGGTTGCTCACTTAACCCACAGTAGCTGCAGGCAAAAATTTCGGTAACCGTCCAGAGTTCTCGACAAGACGTCTTCAGTCACAAAACTGTAGAGGAAAGGGGACATACGGGAGCCTTGTCGTGCGCCGTTATTGACAGCGAAGGACGAATAAAGCTTACTATAGACCCTCACTCTGCCGAAGATGTGGGGGTTGAGTGCGCGCAGGATTGTGTAGTTATCCGGGACCCCGTTCCGTCGCAAGCAATGTCATAGCGAACGTCGATCACCCGAGTCGAATTCTGCAGGAATGTCTAGTAATGCGAAGATAGTGAGACTGTAGTATATGTGGCGGTTTTCGAGGATTTGGCGGAGTCTGCAAATTTTATTCACATATCAACGGAAGGCAGCTTCTTCTTCCCGGTAGCGTGATTCGCAAAGCGGAGATAGTCTATGGAGTAAAATAGATGCCAACAAGTTGAAGGCTACCGAAATGATGACGATGAGCATGTTAGGAAAGTCATTCATGACAAAGCCTATAAACTTTGTTTCTTCTCATAATGATTAACGTGGACATTGTGCTTTCCCAAGACTGGTGTTGGTTGCCAGAAGTACAGCATAAAAATTGTTTGACAGGGGGGGATAGTTTGGGTAGCCTTTTAACGGATGCAGGAATGATTATGGTAACTGAGGTACCAGTATCATCATTCCTCTTGACCAACTGACCTTTAAGTTGCATTTGCAAAGTGTAAGCTGGATGAATGTCATAGACAATTGACGTTGCTTTCCAAACCGTGTTTACCTGGTGGTTTTGGGCTGCAGGCTAAACGAACTTTCAGGTTTTCTCTAGAAATCGTGACGTCCCAGCTATGTCGGCTTTTTATCGGCAAGCTCGGGCCATGTGCTCTAATTTCCACCTAGACGGCAGGAACTCCCTTTAGCAGAACATCCCTCGCTTTTTTACATACGTAGCATGTAAAAGGTTATTTAGCCCTTTTGAATACAACAATATTAGGGTTGACTACTTGGACTGTATCTGCATGAGTGTTGTGATTCGCTACTTTAGGCTTATCCTGATTGGCTGGACTTCGCTAAACGTTGAGTGATCGATTAGCGGACGTCTGTGAGTGCCATTTTGCACTCTGGTCCGTTGCATGTTCCACTTGTCTCCTTCAGTACACTTCTGTTACCTCTACCTTTTTCTGATGTAACTATGAGGTCCCTGGGAAAAGGTTATTATCTTCGTCATGAACATTCTGTAGCTGTCAGACAATGACACGGGCTTTCTCCCAACGCCTCATCGCATCGTTCGACGTTGCGATAACAGGCCCTCCCGAGTCTGTTCATTAAGGATAACAGATATCGGACGATATAGCTATAACTTCTTGGAACTCGGTGGCTGGGCGTTCCGAACACAGATATTTGTAAGACTTGTTGGATCCTCGAAATGAGGTCAGTGATGCAGTTTTCAGAGTATTGACGCAAGGCTGAGAACGAACACCACGCAGTGCACGTGTTCAGTCGCGAACACCTGGCGCGCTGCGGACTTTTAGAGCTCTGTTAATTGTCGGCTTCTCACCGATACGGAGGGCATTAAAAGGTCTCTGGCCTTTATCCCTAGAAATGGACATAGTCGTTCAAATTTGTGGCCATCTGTGAATATTGTATTTTGTTTTAAAACGAGTATTAACTCAAAATGACCCCACTAGGTAACCTTCCAGCGGTCCCATGTAACCGGTATCGGTTTATCAGAAGGAATACTCCAGTTAGGAATAAGTTAAACCATCGCCAGAATGTTAGGTATGGCCCATAACCTGATGGACAAAAGAGAACGTGCAGGTGTGGCGTGTAACCGTACAATGAAATCATCCTACTTTTCAGTGGCCAAAAATGCCGAAACGGAGAATCCATGGAATAAGGAAGATCAGTGTCAGCCAATCATGTGATCAACTGCGCTCACAATCGATGTTCAAGTGTGTTCGTGATAATAACAAGATACAGCTTTTCGCCCTTAAGCAAACTTAAGATTACCACCACTGTACGCGCAGTGACGAGCTATGGGAGCAAAGGCTTGACCAATTCCAATTGTGGAGAAGGCGGGGCGGTGCGAACGGGTTGTGTATTGGAAAACGAACGTATACCTGGTATAGTGTTTCGAACATAGAACAGTCAGAATCATTTGCGCACTGCATTCGTGGTGCCCTTTAATTCAGCGCTCCGTAATGCGCTATCGATTCAGCTTGCCGTGACAATGTGGTGTAGGCCCAAAACTGTAGCGTCATTCGTTTCCACGACTGGTTGGATTGTGCACTACTCGCCCGTCTTCCGCGGTGAGTCATTATTCGCTGAGTTCATCGCGCCTGCTTGTTTTACCATACTATTAATTAGCAACGCACCACATAATGATGTACCTTATCGAAAACATTCTTTGAATCAGTCAACGCACGTGCTTCGCGTACCCATTCTTACTCATTGTATACTGCAGGGCACATCAGTAAAGAGTTGCATCTTATTTCCCCACCTACACCAACTTCGAACTGAGAAAACTGACGTCCCCATAGCGATCTTCTCCAGTTGCGTTTCGATTAACCTGTTCACGGTCCGACTTTGCTAACCTGTTCATTCCTTGATATTCTCTTACAAATGCTGTGGGAAAATCTCCAAATACGCTTGGGCGATTAGCGTCTCGCTCCACTACCAACAACGCTGGAGCATTTATTCTGCTGCAGGAAAAAAACCATCCGACTTTCCAGTTCAAACCGCTCTTATTTGCAACATCTCCAAATCCATTCAGCTGACTCTCACTCCGTTGCAATGACGAAAAGATAAAAGACCAGGTATTTGCCAGCATGGCAATGACACACGTAAATTACTATACTGCAGTATGTTTTGGCACTACCGACAGACATATGATTGTTACACTGCTTTTTGTTTGACTGGCTGATCACTCCAAGTAAGGTGCACCCACTCAAATTGAAACCACACGCAAGTGCCTGTTTGTTTAAACAATAATCGATCTCATTAGAATTATGCACGGTCTGGTCGGACCATCAGCCTGAACCGTGTCTCGCAAAGTCGGAAATAAACTATATATTTAGTTACTTATGAAATGAGAACTTAGAAGGACCCTGCGTTTACATACGCGGATTAAAGGAAAGGTTTGCGAAGGGATTTTCTTGGCAGGCTTTTTGTAAATGGTGGGGTGAGAAAATGAACATGTAGCAGAGATGAAGTTCCAGCGAATTCCGAATGAGACAATTTGCCGCATACAACAATAGCTTGTGACAATTGATCATATAAGGGAAAAGGAGCATTGAAACTCACGCAAGTCTCATCACTCCAATCCGAGGAAGCCACACTAACCCAATCGATTAAATTGCTGTGGGAATGATCTTTGGTATACGTGTATTCTGTAGGAATGCGTGAGTCAGCATGAAATTTGGATCTATTTTCACTGGCCGATTTCTCTGATGCATTCTGGTTGCAGAAGAGATCATTCAAGGGAAAATCTGTTGAAGCCGGTTGGGCGGCTAGAATTTTTTGATCAAAAGCTGTAACACCCTCACGAAAGTTTCCGTTGTTGTAGGTATTTCCCTGTGTCTGCTTGCGAACTGAATGCGGGGAGCATATGCCTGCGGTTTTAGGAAGACCGTCAGCATGATGGTCCAAATGACTGAGATTCACCTCCTCATTCGTTACATTGTTTCCGTCACATACACAAGGAGACAAAGATGTATCTTTTCGCGCAATTGTGCCATTGGATTCATCAGCCTCACTGAAGAAAACGGAAGCGTTATTGCTCTGCAACAGCCAGGCGGGAATGCCGGGAACCGTTAGGGATGCGGAACTGCATGAAACAGGATTGCCGTTCGATAGTTTAGGCAGAACTCCAGTTACCTGACGTGTACAATTAGAAGGCTTCTTTGCTCTGCATAGTAGCTGAGTTGATGATAAATTCAGTTGCCTTTGTGGGTACCTCTTTGCGGTTGAATATGCGGATGCATTCCTAGAGCGTACAACACACGTTGTTGCCGCTGTATCACACTGCGCAGGCTTCAGCCGTATGTTGAGTAGCAGCTGCGGTACATTGGGAATTTCTCTCATAGATGCGTCAGCAACATTGTGCGTTCCCAGAGAATTGACAGAACGTCTGTGCGTACGCTGGCCTGTCTCAGTAGGAGTATGTGCAACCTTCGTTTTAATGTTAAGACACCTGGTAGTGTTTGACCTCCAGAACTTGATGTCGGAATTCTTTTCTGTAAGTAGTTCTGAGCCAGAAGTGTTTGTAAGGGATTTGGTATATTTGTTCAGGGGGACGCGTTTCGTCATCACCTTTGTAAACATTAACGGTGACAGCACTACAATAGGAACGAAAACAAGGTTAGTGCTAGACGTGACATTAAAACCTTTATTATCACAAATGGAAATTCTCAGAAGCAGGGATTCAGAGTGGATAATAGTATGCGTTCATGTTACTGCCCTGTGAGAGATAAACAAGTGTGATTTCTGAAGAGAGAAACTGAGTCGTGGTATTTGAGAAGGAGTGCTGAGACGAAACAAAGAAAACGCCCCTGATTTCATCACACAAATTTTCGGTTTCATTGCACAAAAGTGTAGGGCACTTGCATAACAGATCTGTTAGTTACACATTAATAGAAAACCAAGTAGGCTTCGGTGTCTTCAGATATGTGAAAGATGTAACAGATACATGGCAGTGAAAAGCCTCAAGCGTAACATATATTAGTTACACAACTGATGTCAGCCAGAAGATCTGTCGCTTCATCACTGAATGCGCTAGGATACTGAACAAACGTTGATCGATTCGCCACAGTGTACGTCGAGTTGCACCCTTGAGTAGACTGTGTAGAATTGTACTTTCTGCAGTCCCTAGGTCTACTGCTATGCCGATTCCAGCGGGTTTAACCGAGCACCTCAATTTAAGAATTAACGATCGATTAACAAATATTAGCAGGGCAGTCAACTCTCCCCATGGGTAATGATACTAATGGGATCAGTAAGAATATACATTAAGAATTCATCGCAAGTTACTGCGATGGGGAACGTTTATCACATACTGACGTCTTGTCATACTGAGGATAGTTCAGTTCGTGTAGAATCCACGATCCGACCAAATCTGGTTTTAAGGAATCTAGCAAAATTCGGACACACTCAGTACGTTAGGTCCGTCTGCCAGTCTGAAAACAGTCATGTTTATGGAACTGCACTTTTCGCTTAACCGACACAGCAAAGATTAACCACACGTAACGTCAAAACAGCATTTGACCTCTGCACATTATCATGACGACGTCGAAGCACGTGGCAACTGGAAATGGACTTGAGCTCGCATTCACTCTGATAAACCTGTGACATTAAGACGCAAACTCTATTAGCGCCGGAACGACCGGACAACGGAAGTGCGAGTTTCCGCTCAGCTGCTCATGCCTCCACGTGGCCATCGTCGTAATCGCAATGCAATCTGCATGGGACTCACAGCCATCATGCAATTACATGATGTAAGTCTACATGTAAAATATCATTTATATCAGTGCCGATTCTTCTGATTCTGTAACTAGCCACGCTTAAAGCAGCACTACTAATTGGTGACCCAGAGGTGAGATACTTTGTACTGTCCTGACATATAGCTGTTTATTTTTCGCCTTGAACGATATGGCTGTTCCATCACACCACACTGATTTAGCACACTCCTCACCTTTGCCTAGTTTCTGTGAACGTTCCGCCTTTTTGGCATTATGACCCACATATATGGTTTACGCACGTCCATGCACAGTTTGCTCTTCTCAATACCACACACGAATAGACCATGTTTTATCATGTGTAAACCGTATTGCTACCAGAGATTGTTGCTGACCTACGGCATAGTTTTGCATCACCGGGTGACGCTAAGCCTTATTCGTGGCTTAAATTGCAGTCATCCAACCAACCGCTGTTTCTGATCACAAACTTCTCGAACAATTGATTAGCAGTAAATCACTTGACGAACGCACGTCATCCCAGTTCCTAAGAAGTCTTCACAGTGTAGTGGGCAATCACAAACTGGATGACGCGCTTTCTAATCAGCTATTTCTGAAGGGTATATCTACGCAGGTACAGGCTAGCTTAGCCAGCATCTCTGACAGTGTTCCCCTGACGCAACACACTAGTATTGCTAACAATATGTTAGGAAGCCAGCCTAGCACAACTGACACCTACGTCGTTGAAACGCACAGTCTACCAAACACAATTAACCATAGCCTGGACGATTTGGTTGAACAGATAGCTAAAATTCGGTACAATCGACTAACACGACGCCGTTCTTCTACTGCTAGTTGGTCTATCAGGCCAAGAAACCCTTCTTCATCATGTACTTCAACCATTTGTTGGTACTACAGTTTTTTCGGGAATTCAGCTCGCAAATGCACTCAACCCTGTTCCTTCCATCAAACGTAGCCGCCAGATTTCCCGCTGTCAGGAGACGAATAGGCCAAACGATAGAGGCGAGCACCGTCTTTGGCCAACCGCAATCTAACTCTCACCGACTCATTAACTTAGATCAGACCACGGGTTTCCGTTTTCTTGTCGATACTGGTGCTGACAGCGTAATACCCCCAACCGGCATTTCTGTTAACCGCACTCTATCCTCGATGTGTTTAACAGCAGCTAATAGGATCAGTATTAAAACATTAGCTCAACGAACTTTACTACTCAGCCTTGGTCTACGGTGACAATTCAGTTGGATATTCATAGTCGCAGACGTACATCAACAAATGTTAGGAGCAGATTTCCTGACACATTTCAAAGTGTTAGTGGATCTAAGATGTCGACGCGTAGTTTTCCGTTCCTGATAACATAGTATGTACACCATCCATCTGCCCCATGACCCTTTGGCCACAAAACACTTCTTCATACTACAAGCCCCTTCATAGATTTCCAGATCTATTAAAAAACCAAACTTTCATCAGCCGAATAGCATACATTCTGTCTATCACCACATTACCACCAGTGGTACTCCAGTTTTCTCCCGACGACTACATCCCGAAAGACTGAAAATATCTTAGGGTGAGTTTCAACACATGCTCCAGTTAGGAATAATTCAACCATCTCAGTGTATGTGGGGCTCACTGTTGCATATGGTAGCAAAGAAGACAGCATCCGATTGGAGACCATGTGACAACTACAGAGCATAATCGTATCACCAATCCTGATAGGTACCCCATTCCACACATTCACGAATTTTCTTCTCAGCTTCTCGAATTTACTACTTTTTCATACATTGACATCATGCGTGCTTATCACCCTATCCCTATTCATCCTGATGATATTCATAAGACAGCCATCACAACACCATGCGGTTAGTAAGAATTTTTACGCATGCCATTTCGTTTACGTAACGCTGCACAAACATTGCAATGCTCCATTGATCAGGCACTTTCAGGCCTACCATTTGTCTTCGCTTATCTTGATGATATTTTGCTTGCAAGTGCTAACGAAAACGTACCTTTCGAACATTTAGACATCTTATTTACACGTCTCACCAAGTACGGAGTGATTGGCAACAACAATACGTGTGTCTTTGGTGCATCTTCTTCGAAGCTTATTGGTCATACGCTTGTTAGCACTGGCATTTCGTCAACGGCAGATAAACTTGATGCCATAAGAAACTTTCCCAAACAAATTTCTGTGAAACGGTTGAAACATTTCTTAGGCATGCATAACCTCTACTACCCTTTCACTACAAATGTCGCAAACATGTCATCTTCACTCATCAACTTATTGTCTGGTGATCCGAAGGAATCCCATTCCACTGAGGACATTGTATAAGTTTTCGAAGAAGTCAAATCTTCTCTATTTACTAACATGATGCGCATCTACCTGCAACCCGAAGCGAGTGACACGAGACCAGCTTCCAGCAAGCCAAGCCTGGGTGATGTGTTCAATTTATAGTACTTTCGTGCTGGTATTCGCTGCGCCATACTCTTTCATGATCAGTCTAAGATAATATGGATACAGTTTTTTGTTCGAAAAACTAGGATGTCTGGAAAGCGCTTTGTAGGAACAAGTGAACTTGCCGGGTGAAGCAACCGTCAGATATATCACAGTATGGGATATCAGCGTGGATAGTTGAATAGTAGTGAATACGAAATTACTGCGCACGTCATGTCAGGCTTTTCCAAGTGTGAGGAACTGCTAGATACGAGTCCATTGCTAGACAAGATGTCGTCATTGAAGCTGAACAAATGAATCGCGTGTTTAGTGGAAACCGTCTCTGTACGATATTTGTCCACTGTATTTGAGTGCACTGGCGTGTTAATTCATTATCCGATTATAAGTTGGTCTGTGAAGTTCGAAACCCACATCAGCCGGTTCGGAAGCTGTACATTAGATTTAAAAGTAATCATTCCTACAGCAAGCCCAATTTAATCTGTGTGCCAGAAAGGCCCGATTAGCTGTCCAGTACGACTTGGATACTGTCTTGATTGTTCGGATGATCCCTCGTTTGACCCAATAGCGCGCCTAAACAAATGAGGGTGTAGTTGGCGTGGATACAGTGGCGTAGCAACTACGTTTGCTGTCAGTGACGGACATACAATTGCTGCCACTCTCGTAGTTGTAAAGCCCACAAATGAAACTACCATTCTATATTTCGTTTCACATAACAACAATCACAGATTTAATTTTGGAGTGCTGTCGTGAATACAGCCATTTGACTCGTTAAATTACTCGTGTTCGAAATGTACAGGCACACTTTTCGTGCGCTACTTGAAGCCTCTGGCATCCGAGCTGAATAAGCACTCATCGAACGCAATTGAACATCACTGGTCGAAAATCCGGCGGACTTTGTTAGCAGCGTATATGTCTTCATGTGGGAAATCAAATCGCCAACCTGGACATGGGGTCACTACGCATTCTCAGGAACTTATAGATGCTTGCCAATGTGTTCCGGCTGGTAGCGAACACAAGGAGACTCGCAAAGATTTCAGGGCGAAACTGCTTGCTAAGTTTAAAAGAGACGGGGAGGTCTGGTGGCCGAGTGGTCTGCACGCCTGGCTTGAAATCATAAGGTTACCGGTTCGAATCTATTTTCCTGGCTTGCTTTGGCATCCTGGACGACTTCTCGGTGCTCACCCAGTGTCTGAAACCCCCGCCCGTCGAAAATACTAACTATCCCGTTGACTAAGTGTTACACTGAGTCAATATCGTGGACAGGATGATCAAGTGTCACGATACCTGCTCATCACTTGAATCCTGGTGCCATTTGTCACAAATGTTATTGCCTGTCGTGCAGGAGTGAAATACTGCCAAGCAGCCGGATTATGTACGGTACATATATCTCTCAACAGGACTTGGGTGCGCAAGAATC